ATTTTTAATCACTTATATATGATTATAATACATATATGAGCAATTTTTCTCATTTCTTCAAACTTGATTTTTTGTAAAAAAAACAATGTAAAAATTATTCTTTTAATTATTTTTTATGTTTCCTTTTTATTATTATCAATTTTGTATTAAAGAATAATTTTACAAAGGAAAGAAAATATATGGACATAATTTGCATATAATTATATGTGGAACTTTTTTCCCGGGATTATAAGTATTCATACTTATTTATAAAGCATTTATATAATAGAAATCATGATCTTAATAAAATGTATTGTTCAAATAAATCGCTCAATAATATCGTTAAAATAAATTTATGTCAAAAAAATTGCAGAGTACAAGATAACATCGATACTCTGCAATTATCTCCAGCCTTTTGGCTGGCACGAAAATTTGTTCATGGGCTGACGGTCTTTAACAGTATCTCCTTGGTGCCGGCGAGCTGGATTTTTCGTGCGGGGGTGCTGAATTTCCATCTCACCAAGGTATCCATCAGGTTGAAAAGAAAAAGGTCTTTTGTAAAATTCTTTTTAAAAATGATCTATAAGCTTTAAGCGTTTAAAATGAAATTAACGGAAAAGCTGTGGTAAAACATTTAATAATATCCGCTTACTTTTATTCATTCACGTCATTTACTTATATTTCTCTAATCTGCCCAATCTCAGAGATCTGCTGGTAGGACGCCTTTTGCACTATTTCATATTTCATACACGCAACTGCTAATGCAGCAGTGTGCAATCTCCACACATGCGCGAAAAAGTCAACCCTGCTTACGCAGATTGCTAATCGCGATTTATCGTGTTAATCGCGCGATATCATTTTGAAAAATGTTCTAACCTGTAAAACCTGTTTCATCCTGTTCGATCAATCAATCGAATCCAGAGAACTGTGTTTGATTTCAGAGATAACCACACTTAATTTGGCATTACTTAAGGTGGAGTACGATAAACTCGCGATCATTTATAGATACTACAGAAAAAAAATTTGTTAAAAAACGCAAAATTTGTTTAATTTTGCTAAAATATTTAGTCCAATACGTTCAACTAAAACGTTACTACAATGACACAAAATAATTTGTTACTATTATAAACAAAATACTATTTTTTAACTAAAATATTTTGTTTCAACAAAAATTTATCGTATTTAACTTAACCGTTTGATTAAAAATACACACTATTTATTATCCCCGTCAGCATCGTTTAGTTTGATGCTTGGAATTTGAACAATTATATTACTTGGATAACTATAAATAGCATGCAAACACAAATAAATACTACATAATATTTCGAACAAAATAATTTAATTAAATTGGTTTAGTTAATTCCTGATTAAAAAATTTTGATGATTGATTGCTAATTAATTATTACTAAAGAATTGTTAAATCAACCATTCGATCAAATTAACTATACAAATTTAGTTCGTACAATCAATTTTTTTCTCAGTGTACATAATATATAGGTATAAAGCCTTATGTCCACGATATTTGCTAATATAATTAATTCTTTCTCCACTCGAAATCTCGAAGCGATTTTTAGTATCGTGGACATATAATTAAGATTATAATAGTATTATTTTCACGATCGCTCTGTGTCTGTTATTGTAATAAAAAAAAATTGAAATTTCATAAGAGAAATCAATTTTTGTCATCTTCGACCTCATCATAATTTTTATATTTTTATTCGTTAAATATTTAGTTTTCGTTTTTAATTGAGCAATTACAAATATTTTGTACAAAAATATAAAATCGATCTTATCTCATCTCATCTGAACTCTTATTTTCTTTCATCAAATTCAGAGATAACTCTTAGAACATATATGTAAACATATATATTCTAAGAACATATATTCTAAGAGATAACTACACTGTCATTTAACCTGATGACATATTACTTAAGGTGGAGTACGATAAACTCGCGATATATTTAGATATTATAATATATAGATATAAATTATGCCTTATATCAACGATATTTGCTAATATAATTCTTTCTCCGCTTGAAATCTCGAAGTGATTTCTAACATCGTGGACATATAAGGTTATAATAGTGTTATTTTCACAATCGCTCTGTGTCTGTCATTGTAATAAAAAAAAAATTGAAATCTTTTAAGAAGAATTAGAGTTGATGCATCAATGTCGAATATATATTAGTTGATTTTTATCATCTTTGACCTCATCATAATTTTTATGTTTTTATTCGTTAAATATTTAGTTTTTGTTTTTAATTGCAAATATTTTGTACAAAGATGTATATAAGATCTTATCTCATCTCATATCTCATCTGGTCTTATTTTTTGTAAGACCTCTATTTATTTTCATCGAATTCTACATCAACGAAAAGTTGAAAAGCATAGTAAAATATATGCATATATGTATTATATGTATAGTACTATATTTCAATATAAAATTGACTGAAAGGTGCAGTAAATAAAAATCTTATACGAACAATTCGCAATTGCTCAATTAATATAATTAAAAACAATTAATTATAATGATGTAGAAGATGACAAAAAATATCAACCAGTTCTACATCAATGCATCTCGATATCGATTTGACTAATTATTTCCGACTGAAGTAATAAAAAGGATTGGCTTAGCAAATCTGGATCCGAATTCAACGCATTGCGGACATTTGCATATATCGTTCAATATCTTATATGCATGACTTTTATTAGCAGTAATGTGTGTATGTCGCTTATGATAAAAAATGTCTTTTAATTACAAGATGAAGAGTTAAAAATAAATAAATTGTCCCATTACGACAATAAGAATTACGCATTTCGATTTATTTTGGATGATTATACCACTAAATTATTATATATACGTCAATTGCGAGTGATGAAGTAAGCCATTTTAATTTCCAGTTTATTGTTTTCCTTTCAACTTTCGATCCTCGGCGTAAATTTTCATCTGGAAGCTCACCAGGTCGGACGTTCTCTTGTGAAAGTCGAACCGCGTGTCCTTCGAGTGTATCCCCTTGTCGTGCCACCAACCGTAACTGAAAATCGTCATAATTAGCCGCTGGTGCGGGAAGACAGCTGAGAAAATCGACGTTTCAGGCAGACGTCGAGAGGCAGGAATTACGTGTGGCTGGTCAATAGCGGCGATTGGTATAGACTCCTCGGCTTCCTATCCTGCTCCGTGGCGAGCCTCTCGAGCGTGTCGCTTACGTCCGCATTTCGCGCGTCCTCGAGCTCCCTCGAGTAGAATTTCGGCGTGACGACGTCCGCTGTAATTGATTTGCAAACTTCTGCGTGCGCATTTATTTCAGGTCGTATTACGCTCGGCACGCGGCTCGCGTTGCGAAAATCGAGATCACGCCGCGACATCGCGCGGAATGTATATTTTCTTTCATCCCCGCGCGGTGATAAACTCCGGATAAAGTCGGATAAAAATCGCGAGTTCACCGCCGAGAAAGCGACGCGAGTTAACCCTTAACAGGTATTTTCTTATTGCTGATGCAGGTCTTTTTCTTATTACATTGCAGTAATATAATTGTGGAGTCATCAGTGACTATCCAGTCTACTTTACGCTGAAATAAATACAAACTTTGGATTTTAGATTAGCTGAACAAAATCACTGCCAGTTTTGGAGAAAAATAAAAGTAACAAGCTCTGTGGAGTCATCGGTGATCTCAAGATAGGTACCAGTTAAGGGTTAATTTCACAGCAAGGCGGGAATCTCGCTGATTTTTAATTAATTTTCCGTCAGCTTGATTTTTAAACTAAAAAAAGTTTGTAGAGATCACAAATCATTAATATTTTTTAGAACTTATTTAAACAAAAGACTAAATATAATTTTTACCTGAATAAAATAAAACTTTAGGTCATGTTTCCGCTTTCAGGGTTTTTACTCAACTAATAGCTGAACAAAACCAATGCCAATTTTGGAGAAAAATAAAAGTAACACAAACTCTGTGGAGTCATCGATGATCTCGAAATACCAATTAAAGATTAATTTCACAGCAGGCGGGAATCT